AAACATAGAGATGATGATAATGATGAAGAAGGAGAAGAGGTAAAAGAGGAGTACTTTCGTTTTGCAGCAGATTGTAGAGATCGCTTTGAGTACCCTGTACCGGCAACGTACTTCGGAAATTGCTTAACAAAATGTTATGCAGTGCTCAAGAGAAAGGAGCTCAAGGGAGAAGGTGGTTTTTTGAAGGCGGTGAAGGCTATTGCAAGAGCAATAACTGATATGAAAACTGAACCTCTTAAAGGTGCAGAAAATTGGAGGGCATTATTGAGGAAGATATCTGTATTGGGAAATACGGTACTAGTTACAGGGTCACCTAACTTCACTGTTTATGAGACTGATTTTGGGTTTGGAAAACCTACCAAAGTCGAGATGGTACATTCCCCTAAGTGCATGTCTCTTGCTGAAAGTGGGGACAAAGAAGGAGGATTAGAGCTTGGCTTGGTTTTTAGAAGTGGGGAATTTGAATATTTCATTTCTGTCATTGAGCGAGGACTCGCAACATTAAAATCCTAAATGATTGTGTATGTTGTTTCCTATTGTGCTTTCTTATTAACTCATTAGACATGTAGTGTGCGATTCAGTAAAGGACAACATGGGGGGTTGCTACTTTTTTATTTGACGGTGGTAGTGATGGTGGTGAAAGCATGTTCAGTATGCATGGGACTTGGAATAAAAATTTCTTTTCTCGCATCTTGTTTTCATTTTGAGCTTAAATATTGTTGTACCACCACCGAGGTCCACCGAGGTCATACCGAGATCCTAATATGACATATCGGCCAGTGTAAGTTGACTTAAACCCTGAGATCAACGAAACCGATATCTCAATATATAAACAACATCAAATATATAACACGTGCCAATAATGATCGACCTAACCATAATTAACTCACCTCGGACAACTGCTATGGCGGTTACATCGAAAAACCGCACAACCCAGGTAAACGATAAGAATGAGAATACACAATGGATGAGGATTAACTTGATCGTCAGAGTCCTTTTTGCAGGTACATCCGAGACGCCCGAGCAAGGAGACCGGAGAGAAGGAATTCAACTCATCAATCAACTTCGTACAATCTCGGCCAGGCTCAGCAAGGGAGACGACTTATTCGAGTTAGGAAGACGACCTGATTTGTGTAAGTACATTTGGCGCTAGAAGGAGGGCCTGATAAAACTTTTCCTCCTTCACCCTTATGGTTTCAACCCGAAGCCAGACCAACAGAGCAACAAGCATACCTCGCCCAAATATACCCACTATGGAAGATAACCCTGCCTTACGACGGTTACTCGAACAAATTGAATTAATGCAGCAACAACATGCGGCGGCGATGGAAAACCTTCGAAAACAGCACGAAGCCGACTTACAACAGTTACGCGCTGAACAAGCCGCGTTCTGAGCTCAATGGCAACAAAATCCACCACCACCATACACTCACCATGCTAGCCATGCTCCACCAACCACGGAAGAATATCAGTCTTATCCTGATCCTACGTACCCTCCTCAACTGTTCGGGTACGCAAAGCGTTCGGATTGCTCGGCCTAGTCGACACCATACGGTATACTTTCTTTTTGCGAAGGGAGAGAAGAAGGAAAATAAAGACAATGAAGGTAAGTTTGCGAAAAAAAAAAAAGGAAAAAAAAATAATGAAATGTATCTTAGACATCTTGTACCTTAACAATGACTTTAATCAACGGCTGTAATTTGAGCCTCATATTTTGGGCCGAGACAGAATATTAGTAAAAGTGTGTTTGGTTGTGGGTGCTGTGAACAAAAGGTATTTATATTTGATGATGAAAAATTGATCATGCGCTATGCGGGCGGGTTCCAGAACAATTACTTTAAATAGTTCCCCCCTTAAACACAGTGATGAAATGGATTGAAAATGATAAATGAATACGACAAAAATGAAGTCATGGTAAACTTATTTTTAATTCACCAAAAATCAATCCCGATTAAATGAATGAAATAATATTACTAAACTACCCTTTCTTAAAAACAATCAAGTGCATAAAAATGTTACGAGAAGATTTGTACCTTCACTTCCTAGTAAAATTTTCTTTTCATTTATATCATGACCCCAGGCAGAAAACAAAATCTTTTAATTCCTTATTTTCTTTCTTCTTTTTCCTTATTTCTATTTTCTAAGAATATTTTTAAAGAAAAGACAAATATGCATCGATGACCAACAAACATTACATTGGTTCAAATATAACTCAATTCAAAGCATTTAACCGCCATGCTGAACACGTGCTACTTTGAATTAACAATCATAGATTTTATTAATAAGCTAAACCAGATCTTTGGAATATTGATATATAAGTTACAAAATATCCGTAACATACTTGTACAAGCATGCGAGAGAAACATTCTCCATAAAGGACAACAAATGCAACTGGAATCTGTTTCTGAAATAAATAAACTAGTTTTGTGATACATGAGAACTATAATGACAGTAATTTCTTTTGAAAAAATGGCAACAAGAATAGCAGGATAAAGTTTCAGCAAATGAATGCCATGGGAAAGAACATCTGGTCTTGCACAGGACAGTAGTGAACAATAAACAGTTTGCAGCTGATCTCATCCTTTGACTACACTTAAAAACTATGGACTGATATAGTCTAATACGTGACAAATAAACATCTATATGCTACAACAGAAGATCCAGATTCAATAAAGGCACCAAGTTAAAGCCACCACACATGCTTGACCATTTAAAATTGTACAAGCATTTCTGACTACCCGTGGTTGGTGGAGCATGGCTAGCATGGTGAGTGTATGGTGGTGGTGGATTTTGTTGCCATTGAGCTCAGAACGCGGCTTGTTCAGCGCGTAACTGTTGTAAGTCGGCTTCGTGCTGTTTTCGAAGGTTTTCCATCGCCGCCGCATGTTGTTGCTGCATTAATTCAATTTGTTCGAGTAACCGTCGTAAGGCAGGGTTATCTTCCATAGTGGGTATATTTGGGCGAGGTATGCTTGTTGCTCTGTTGGTCTGGCTTCGGGTTGAAACCATAAGGGTGAAGGAGGAAAAGTTTTATCAGGCCCTCCTTCTAGCGCCAAATGTACTTACACAAATCAGGTCGTCTTCCTAACTCGAATAAGTCGTCTCCCTTGCTGAGCCTGGCCGAGATTGTACGAAGTTGATTGATGAGTTGAATTCCTTCTCTCCGGTCTCCTTGCTCGGGCGTCTCGGATGTACCTGCAAAAAGGACTCTGACGATCAAGTTAATCCTCATCCATTGTGTATTCTCATTCTTATCGTTTACCTGGGTTGTGCGGTTTTTCGATGTAACCGCCATAGCAGTTGTCCGAGGTGAGTTAATTATGGTTAGGTCGATCATTATTGGCACGTGTTATATATTTGATGTTGTTTATATATTGAGATATCGGTTTCGTTGATCTCAGGGTTTAAGTCAACTTACACTGGCCGATATGTCATATTAGGATCTCGGTATGACCTCGGTGGACCTCGGTGGTGGTACAACAATATTTAAGCTCAAAATGAAAACAAGATGCGAGAAAAGAAATTTTTATTCCAAGTCCCATGCATACTGAACATGCTTTCACCACCATCACTACCACCGTCAAATAAAAAAGTAGCAACCCCCCATGTTGTCCTTTACTGAATCGCACACTACATGTCTAATGAGTTAATAAGAAAGCACAATAGGAAACAACATACACAATCATTTAGGATTTTAATGTTGCGAGTCCTCGCTCAATGACAGAAATGAAATATTCAAATTCCCCACTTCTAAAAACCAAGCCAAGCTCTAATCCTCCTTCTTTGTCCCCACTTTCAGCAAGAGACATGCACTTAGGGGAATGTACCATCTCGACTTTGGTAGGTTTTCCAAACCCAAAATCAGTCTCATAAACAGTGAAGTTAGGTGACCCTGTAACTAGTACCGTATTTCCCAATACAGATATCTTCCTCAATAATGCCCTCCAATTTTCTGCACCTTTAAGAGGTTCAGTTTTCATATCAGTTATTGCTCTTGCAATAGCCTTCACCGCCTTCAAAAAACCACCTTCTCCCTTGAGCTCCTTTCTCTTGAGCACTGCATAACATTTTGTTAAGCAATTTCCGAAGTACGTTGCCGGTACAGGGTACTCAAAGCGATCTCTACAATCTGCTGCAAAACGAAAGTTTCGTTGATGGAATAATGGAAGTTCCCCTTCCAAATACTTGGAAGCCATTAAACATCGACAGATATGATGGAACTACTGATCCCGATGAACACATTGATGCGTATGTTACCCAGATTAACCTGTACACAAATGACGATGCCATTATGTGTCGCGTGTTCCCAACTTCACTCAAAGGAGCCGCTCTCAGTTGGTACACACAACTACCACCCAGATCAGTAGACAATTTCGATACCTTGGTCCGCCTTTTCTCTACCCAATACGCTACCAGCAGACCTCATCATATCACCTCGGCAGCGCTGTCCAATTTGCGACAACAGGATGATGAATCCCTCAGGCATTTTATGGAGCGATTTGCTAACGTTTCCATCAAAATCCGAAACCTTAATCCTGAAGTCGCCCTCCATTCCATGCTGATGGCACTTAAACCTGGACCTTTCGTTGACAGTCTTTGCCGACAATTATCCTTTCTGGAAAAAGATGACCATTCCGTTACAGTTCCAATATTAGGGGAAAAAAGTATAATAAATACCTTTATAGGGAAATGTTTTTCTCTGTAATAAGGATATGAAATGTAAGTGAAAACTACGGCAAGAGCAACATCTGCAAAAATCACTATTCTGCCTATTGCAAAACAAGATTTAAGCTTTTCCTATAATTATAGTAATTATAAACAAATAACAACAATGTGAGCATAGGGTAGTAGCATGGTATCGGTACGGACAAGGATCCTCTCCAGTGAAGAAAAAAATTGGGATGGTGAAGTGTGATTATCTCACTCTTAATTTTTTAAAAATATTTAATTTGTAATAAAAATATACTATTTTAATAAAATTGATTGAATGATTAGAATTTCATTCAATGATAATGTTATTAGAGATTTCCCAACATGGCATGGATTAAAATCCAATGAACTTCCAAAATCAATGTCAGGGAATTGTGCAGGTGTTGATGTCTAATAAAATCAGCAGTTTAAAACATCAGATCTAGCATACCACTGCAATTCAAAATTAATAAGCATTCAAGTTCAGATTGATGTAAAAAAAAAAAAAAAATAAAGTATGTAGTGTGCGACTGTTACTGAATGGAAACATACAAATGTTTTTTATTCAATCTAGCACTTGATTCGACTCATCCCTAAACTTCCCATATACGATACAGAAGAAACACAAAAAAGAGCAATCAATACTGTCTAAACACAAAAATCTGACATAGTCGAAATTTGGCCCCCATTATATTTCTGAATGATGAACCAATCTCATAAACCGAGATAACCTTTCTCCTATACAGATTATATTAGGCATGCATCAACCAAATGAGCCCAAGAACAAAAAATTACAAACAATCATCCCATGAATTACAAAACAACCCCCCTTTCACACCCCCAAGAATGAAAAATTATCCAAAACAAAGCAGTGGAAAAGCCAAATCACACAATCTCCTTGACACACACAATTCCAAAATCTCAAAATCAGTTTCCAGCATCATATTGACAAAACCAAAGCACAACAATCACTCATTCACCCCAAAATAAAAACACTGTTTCATGTTACGCAGTTCTTTTTTGGCATTTCATTTTCAGTGACATTGACAAACGGTCCTGATCGTGCCATGTCAGCTTGTGATTAAGGCTTCGATGACCCATTAAGAATGGTCGGTTCTCAATTTTGCGTTGTCTTCTCAAACTCAATGAGATCAGAAACAAACCACTAACCAGCCAGAAAGAGAATATATATATAAAATGGTGTTTTATTCTGAGGTAGATTACAACATAACTACATAACATACGGGAAAACAATAGTACTAAAACATTGTAAATGTAAGTTTTTTGTGTATTAAAATCTCTATCTTGTTTTATTAACATTTCTTGGGTTGGTTCTTCCGTCGTTAATATGACAAAATCGGGGAATTGGGCAATTTATTGTTCACATTTAATTTTCATTTGATACGTCAATTGCACAAAGTATTTGAGTTTAACACGCAACATTATCGATAACCTTTTTTTCCCCTCAATATAGGTTCGTGGTAACTGTGTTTTTTATAGTAAAAGTATTGAGCAATTGAAATATACTAAAAATCGTAATTTTTTCCTTGTTGAAAGTGAAACAATTTTCATAATAGTAATACATTAAGAGAATGGTACATTACATGGATGGACATGCTACGATTTGCACTGAATTTATATTATTTTTTATCTCATGTGATTAAATTTAATTGGACCTCTTTGGATTGAATTTTTGAATTTTTATTTCGCAATTTGAAAGAATAAATTCGATTATGATTATATTAATTTCAATCGGATTATTGAACTTATCATTTAAAAAAATAAGGTGAAACATGTAATTTTAGTTGTTGTAAGTTTTCAATTTGATTTTTATATGTAAAAATTTATTAAATTTGTCTCTATACTATACTTATTAAATGTTATCAATTTGATTTCTAACATTAACTTCATTACATATTATTAATTTAGTTCTCATATATGTAATACTCTTATTTGATTTTTACACATGTAATATATTATTGATTTTGGTTCATATTGAGGATCAAATGTATTAATCTTATAGTGACCAACAAATTAAGAATGGTTATATGTATAAAAAAAACAAATTAAGAATATGTGGAGGAATTAATAGTTTAAGAACTAAATAAATAACATTTATATGCATAGGAACCAATTTAATATTTTTTTTACATATAAGAACCAAATTGAGAATCCCAACATTTATATGGACTAAATTATATATTTAATAAAAAAATTAAATCAATCTTATATTCATTGTCATATAATATGAGTAACTATAACAAACATAAACTCTAACCCTAGTGAGAAGAGAATAAAAGTATAATATTATAAAAAATTGTGTTTAATTATGGGGTTTGGCTAGATTGATGTGTTATAACATTAACAATGAGTAGAAAGTTTGGCTAAACTTTTAGTCCAAATTCTAAACATTTTTTATCCATAAATTTTAAATCTTTATAAAAATAATAGGAAACAACAATATATAATAATTGATTAATTTGAATCAGAATGAATTGGATTTTTATAAGAGATAACTAAAATTCTTTAGTTATCTAATTTTTAACATTAGAATTTGTATTCTAATTAAAACTTATTGGATTTGCATTCTATTTTCAACCTAATATGAATGAATCCAAATTTTTGGGTTTAGATTGATTTATGTTCATCAATTTTTTGGACTGATTCATGGCCACTCTTACTACTTTATTTTTGTTCATAAATATAGTATTCCAAAAAAGCTGATAAACAATTAATAATTTGTGCTCGAGGGATAATACTCCTAGTATATTATCTCATAAGTAAATGTTTAAATGAAAAATAAATATTAAGTAAAGATTGTGAAAATTTTAACACTAAAAATGTGTTAGCAAAAGTTGTGAAAATCATTTTATTTAGATAATTGATTATATGAATTATTGACTATTACTATAATTAATTATAATCAAAATGAATTTGTGAGGACCTTATTTTCTTTCATTACCCATTTTCACCCTTACATTTTTTTTTCTCTCAGCCTCACTCACCCTTCCCCGCACAACTCATGTTCTCTCCAACTACTCACTTCTCATTTTCTCTTTTTTGCTGGTGGCGATTCTTGGCAGCTGAAGGTGCTTAGGGGGTGTGAACTGATTACTCCAGCTGATTTCTTCTCCGTTCACTTCCAAGCTTCTCTTCTCCTTCATTCTTTTCCACCCGAAGCTCGGAATCTTAGGTCGAGGTAAGGGAAGCTAGTAATTTTGTTTCTTTTTCGTTGTTCTTGACTGTGGACGAGTTCTATAAACTCGTTAGATGCTTGTTGGTGTCTGATTCATGGCTGGGTTTGAAAGAAAGCAGTACCAGGGAGAAGTCCAAAACTCATTTCGACCAGAGATCAAAAAGACCTCGTCAGTCACAAGGTCCCAGGTATGAATTTTATACCCCTCTTAATGCTCCTCGTATTAATATTTTAGAGGAAGCTAACCATGCAGATTTGATCTCTCTACCTCCACTCGCGCACAACTCGGCCAATGCCGACAAGAGCAAGCATTGCCGCTATCACCGAAATTACGGGCATACAATAGAGGAGTGTTGGAGTCTCAAAGATCGCATAGAAGAACTTATCCAGGCTGGTCACCTCGGGCAATATATCCAACGCGGACAGACTTCTCATGGAGGCTTTAGAGGACGTGGTAGAGGACGCGACCGACATCCAGGCCGATATCAAGGGCGCTATCCAAATTACCAAGGCCGATCTGAGCACCACAATTACCACCAAACCAATGCCCATGAGGAAAGCAAACCAAGTGCAAATAGCGCCGACCCACAACACGCTGATAAATCCTCTGAGGGGAACAACATACGTGGCGTTATCAACACTATTGCTGGTGGGTTTGTTGGAGGAGGAAGTTCTAATTCTGCTCGAAAGCGGCATCTCCGCAATGTCCACAATGTTGACAACTGCTCCAATTTGGAATTTAAGCCAGACATACCCACTCCTCCTATTGTCTTCACTGATAACGATTACGAGGGCATAAGCCTAAACCAAGATGATCCAATGGTCATCTCGGTCGAAGTAGCCAACTGGGAAGTTCAGAAGACATTAATTGATCAAGGCAGCTCTACCGATGTGCTATATTGGCCAACTTTCTTAAAGCTTGATATTCCTCACAGCATGATCCAACCACACTCTGAGCCTCTTGTAGGCTTCGCACGTGAGCGAGTCCATACTCGCGAGTTTATTGAATTACTAACCTCTTTTGGTACAGCTTCGAATTCAAGAAGGGTGTTGGTGAAATATCTCTTAGTTGATGCCATCACTTCTTACAACATCCTTATCGGAAGACCGACACTGAACCAGTTGGGAGCTGTAGTATCTACACCTCATTTGACCATGAAATTCCCGGGGACCAATGGACAAATCATAGCTATCAAAGCCAATCAACAGTTAGCAAGGAAATGTTACGCCGAAAGTCTCAAGATCACTCCCACCAAACCTCAACTCAGAACGACAAGTTCAACCACAGTGGCCCATGTTGATAAGAACGAGATGGTCGAGCTGGATCCCCGAGTTGACATGTACGACCACCGACCTAGTCCTGTTGATGATTTGCTAGAGTTCCAAATTGGTAAAAGGCCGGGATAATGCACCAAAATTGGAAAGCACACAGAGCCCGAGCTCCGAGGTAAAATCATGTCAATTTTAATTGAAAATGCTGACCTTTTTGCCTGGAGCAGTGCAGATATGCCAGGGATAGACCCCAGTTTTATTTGCCACAAATTAGCCATTTACAGAGAAGCAAAGCCAATATCTCAAAAGAAAAGAAAGATTGGTGGCGAGAGAAGAGAAGCTGTTAAAATTGAGACTCAAAAAATTGTTAAATGCAGGATTCATCAGAGAGATTACATACACCACTTGGCTAGCTAATGTCGTAATGGTCAAGAAATCTAACGGCAAGTGGCGTATGTGTGTTGACTATACAGATCTGAATAAAGTCTGTCCAAAAGATGCATACCCTTTACCTAGTATTGATACCAAGGCCGATCTGAGCACCACAATTACCATCAAGCCAATGCCCATGAGGAAAGCAAACCAAGTGCAAATAGCGCCGACCCACAACACGCTGATAAATCCTCTGAGGGGAACAACATACGCGACGTTATCAGCTGCAGCTGGTGCAGCAAGGCCCACAGGGTCACAGGAGAGTCGGGACCTAGCTGAGTTTCGGAAGTGTCATCCCCCGCAGTTTACGGGTGAAGCGGATCCAGAGGTAGCTGACCGCTGGATACGTGAGTTATAGAAGATCTTTAATGTTATGGGGTGCTCTCCAGAAAAGAGGTTGACATATGCTGTGTATATGTTGGTAGGAGAGGCCGAACATTGGTGGAGAAACACTTACCAGATGCTTACTGCTCGGGGAGTTACAGTTGATTGGGAGTGTTTCAGAACCGTATTCATGGAGAAATACTATCCGGAGAGCGTGAGGCACGCCAAGGAGGCCGAGTTTTTGCGATTGATTCAGGGTGGGTTGACTGTATCAGAGTATGCATTGAAGTTCGAGCACTTGGCTCGTTTCTATTCACAGGCTATTTCTGAAGCCTGGAAGTGCAGAAAATTTGCGGAGGGGCTGAAGTATGAGTTGAAGAAGGTGGTGGTGCCTATGGCCATCACCGAGTTTCCCGCCTTAGTGGAGAAGGCGAAGATTGTAGAGAGGTTGGAAGGGAGTAGCCGGGTGATCAGAGCTGCTGAGGGACCATCTGGGTCCAAGAGAGGAAGTGGAAGTCAGGGGAAGCCGTATGATAGGCCCCAGCCACAACAAAGGGGTCCTGTTATTAGGCAACCTACTGAGACTACCAGAGGGGGAGGACAGGGTGGAGGTGCTGCCCTTAGGTGTTACAGATGTGGTGGATCCCATTTGATCAGGGATTGTCCACACACTGAGAGCAGGTGTTTCAGATGTCAGCAGATGGGACATGTGTCTTTCAACTGTCCCACCAGGGGTAGACCGGAGAGGAGTACTCAGAGGAGCGATGCGCAGAGAGCCGATACTCAGAGGAGTAGCGTTCAGAGGACTGAGACTCAGAGGGGTGACCGACCCACTACAGCTGGTAGGGTGTTCGCTTTGACTGGTGCTGAGGCTTCGACTTCTTCTGACCTAGTGAAGGGGAAGGGCAAGGCTACTGGTAAGGATGTGATGCTTTTGTTTGATTCTGGGGCTTCCCATTCTTTTATTTCCTATGCTTGTGTTGCTATGTTGGGAGTGTCTGTGTCTGATTTGGGATTGAGACTGCTAGTATCGACGCCCGCTTCTGCTTCAGTAGTCACTTCTGAGCTGTGTACTGGCTGCCCCATTGTTGTGAATGGGAAGAAGTACAAGGTAAACTTGATTTGTTTGCCTTTGATTGATATTGACATAATCTTGAATTCCTCACAGCATGATCCAACCACACTCTGAGCCTCTTGTAGGCTTCGCACGTGAGCGAGTCCATACTCGCGAGTTTATTGAATTACTAACCTCTTTTGGTACAGCTTCGAATTCAAGAAGGGTGTTGGTGAAATTTCTCTTAGTTGATGCCATCACTTCTTACAACATCCTTATCGGAAGACCGACACTGAACCAGTTGGGAGCTGTAGTATCTACACCTCATTTGACCATGAAATTCCCGGGGACCAATGGACAAATCATAGCTATCAAAGCCAATCAACAGTTAGCAAGGAAATGTTACGCCGAAAGTCTCAAGATCACTCCCACCAAACCTCAACTCAGAACGACAAGTTCAACCACAGTGGCCCATGTTGATAAGAACGAGATGGTCGAGCTGGATCCCCGAGTTGACATGTACGACCACCGACCTAGTCCTGTTGATGATTTGCTAGAGTTCCAAATTGGTAAAAGGCCGGGATAATGCACCAAAATTGGAAAGCACACAGAGCCCGAGCTCCGAGGTAAAATCATGTCAATTTTAATTGAAAATGCTGACCTTTTTGCCTGGAGCAGTGCAGATATGCCAGGGATAGACCCCAGTTTTATTTGCCACAAATTAGCCATTTACAGAGAAGCAAAGCCAATATCTCAAAAGAAAAGAAAGATTGGTGGCGAGAGAAGAGAAGCTGTTAAAATTGAGACTCAAAAAATTGTTAAATGCAGGATTCATCAGAGAGATTACATACACCACTTGGCTAGCTAATGTCGTAATGGTCAAGAAATCTAACGGCAAGTGGCGTATGTGTGTTGACTATACAGATCTGAATAAAGTCTGTCCAAAAGATGCATACCCTTTACCTAGTATTGACAGATTGGTGGATGGAGCCTCGGGTTATGCTATGCTGAGCTTCCTAGATGCCTACTCAGGCTATAACCAGATCCTTATGTATCCCCCAGATGAAGAATACACTGCTTTTATCACAGAACAAGCCAACTACTGCTATCATGTCATGCCATTTGGACTTAAGAATGCTGGAGCAACATATCAAAGACTACTGGACAAGGTCTTCGCTGACCAGATCGGCCGTAATCTTGAGGTTTGCGTTGATGACATGGTCATCAAAACGAAGTCAGCCGTAGATCACGCCCAAGACCTCGAGGAGATCCTCCAACAAGTCAGAAAGCATAACATGAGATTAAATCCTGAAAAATGTGTTTTTGGAGTTCAAGGTGGGAAATTTTTAGGATTTATGATTACTTGCCGAGGGATAGAAGCAAATCCAGACAAGTGTCAGGCGTTGATCAACATGAGGAGCCCCCAAAATCATAAAGAAGTACAGAGGTTGGCGGGCAGGCTCGTCAGTTTATCTCGGTTCATCCCCAAGATGGCAGAAAAGGCCAAGCCTATTTTTAGCTTGCTCAAGAAACCCAAGGATTTTTGCTGGGATACCCGATGTGAACAAGCTTTTTCGGGTTTCAAAAGTTTTCTGAGTTCACCTCCTATACTAACCAAATCTCAGGATCGTGCTGATCTCTTGTTGTACCTTGCTGTTGCCGATAATGCAATCAGTGCAGCACTTATGCAAGCCGATGGTAAGAAACAAATTCCCATTTACTTTATCAGTCGTGTTTTGCAGGCAACCGAGCAGAGGTATCAAACTATTGAGAAACTGATCTTAGCCTTGATAACCTCAGCTCGCCGGCTCCGGCCGTACTTCCAAAGTCATCAAATCGTGGTCAAGACCGACTATCCCATCAAACAGATACTTCGGAAGCCTGATCTTGCAGGTCAGATGACAGCTTGGTCAATCGAACTATCTGAATACGGAATCAAGTATGAAAGCCGAGGAGCGTTGAAAGCACAATGTCTTGCCGATTTCATAGCCGAGCTCACCCCTAGCGTCCCATTGGAGGATCAATGTTGGATTTTACACGTCGATGGCTCGTCTAATACCAAAGGTAGTGGTGCCGGAATTATCCTTGAAGGCCTTGATGATATGATGATTGAACTTGCAATTAAGTTTAATTTCCGAGCTATTAACAACCAGGCAGAGTATGAAGCTCTACTTGCAGGTTTAAGGCTCACAAAAGATGTTGGTGTTAAGAAGCTCAGATGTTGTAGCGATTCCAAATTAATTACCGAGCAAGTCGGAGGAAGCTACCAAACAAAAGAACCTCAGCTGCAAAGGTACAACCTTATGGTATCTCATTTGACCTCTTCTTTTGACCATTTTCAGATCGAACATGTCCCAAGAGCACACAATGTTAGAGCTGACCTCTTATCCAAGTTAGCCAGCACCAAACGTCCAGGACAACACAAAACAATTATCCAGGAGTTCATTGAAGGATTCTCTAAAATAGTAGCGCCTCTAACCCAGTTGACGAGGAAGGAGCAGCCGTTTATTTGGACAGATGTCTGTGAGCGGAGCTTTGAGGAGTTGAAGAGGAGGTTGACTACTTCCCCTGTGTTGGTGTTGCCGGATTCTGGTGAGCCCTTTGATGTATATTGTGATGCTTCTCACCAGGGTCTTGGGTGTGTACTGATGCAACATGGGAAAGTGGTGGCCTATACTTCAAGGCAACTGAAGAACCATGAGAGGAATTACCCCACTCATGACTTGGAGTTGGCAGCTGTTGTTTTTGCCTTGAAGATATGGCGACATTATTTGTATGGAGCTCGGTTCAGTGTCTTTAGTGATCATAAGAGTCTAAAGTATCTATTTGATCAGAAGGGGCTGAACATGAGGCAGAGACGATGGATGGAGTTCCTAAAGGACTATGACTTCCAGTTGATGTATCATCCTGGTAAGGCCAATGTTGTGGCGGACGCGTTGAGTAGGAAATCCATCCACATGTCAAGCATGATAGTCCATACTCGCGAGTTTATTGAATTACTAACCTCTTTTGGTACAGCTTCGAATTCAAGAAGGGTGTTGGTGAAATATCTCTTAGTTGATGCCATCACTTCTTACAACATCCTTATCGGAAGAACAATGGATGAGGATTAACTTGATCGTCAGAGTCCTTTTTGCAGGTACATCCGAGACGCCCGAGCAAGGAGACCGGAGAGAAGGAATTCAACTCATCAATCAACTTCGTACAATCTCGGCCAGGCTCAGCAAGGGAGACGACTTATTCGAGTTAGGAAGACGACCTGATTTGTGTAAGTACATTTGGCGCTAGAAGGAGGGCCTGATAAAACTTTTCCTCCTTCACCCTT